AGATCCACCATATGGCCTCTTAGAGCGATGATTGACTGGGCTGCCCTGAGATCATTCGTTTCTTAGCCCCGAGCACAACGGAGGAGTCGACCAGCACTGCACACATTTTACGATTCCTCCACTCCCCCCCCCCCCACTGCTTCCACAACCCAGCGTCAACTGCAGCGAAACCAATATTTGGGGCCGAGTCAACCTTTGGGGATGCCCTATCCGGGTTACAAAGGTTGCAATTGAACCTTTGTCGCAGTATAAAGGCGCAGGGCGCTATGCCACCCGTTTACTTCTACAAAAGAAGGTTCAGGGTGTGCGTGAGTAAGTTACGTGCGTGTGTATCGCGTCACGCGTACGTGACCAAATATTGGCGCGCGTCCAGAGAGAGGTCTATGGCATTTGAGCACAAAGACGTCTGACCAAAGTGCGCGACATGTGTGGTGGGATTCAATCTCGGGACCCCGGGGATTTACAGAGCACAGACACTCGAGGCGTGCATTTGTATCAATGCGCTTACGTGCTTGCGTGTGGTGGGGCGGGGGAAGGGGTTTATTGAAGCATCGATTCGTCAATAAATATCAATTGTTAATCTCAAGATGCTTTGCGTAGAATAACGTGTTTAAGAATGTCTGCTTTCCCGGTCCGTGTGTGTTGTGTGCGATGCGTGTTTGTGCCCCCCCTCCCCCTCGAGCTGCCACATGCATGCTGCTACTTTCTGCGCAATAAAAAAGTTATTTTTCAGCAATTCATTCATTAATGAGGTTGTTTATGCCTGCCAGCGATGAGTGTAGTGGTTAGCGCACTGCACTACAAACCTGGCAAACCCAGTTTGATTCTCCCTTAAGACCAAAATCAGGCAGCGAATTTTTGAGCTGGGGTCTCCCTTTCGTCTACTCAGCCTTATACGAGTACCTGGTGTGGTTTGTAGACATCAGCACTAGGGAGACAAAGACGGCCGGGCATGGTGTTAGCCACCAATCACCTCGTGTGCTGTGCCGGCCTTTGTAGCTGCTCGTGAACAGCACTCGCCCAAACAGTCTGTTAATGCTATAGGGAGGATCTTTGTCAATAATTAATATAACTACTCAGCAATATTACCAAGCTCTACAGGACGAACACGTTGGTCTTTGTTCCTTTATGAAGAGCAGATGGATTTTGAGCATCGAAAAATTAAATGTTTATACAAACTAAAATTGGGTTCAGTCTGCCACGCATGTGCATGCTTAGCATTGCCTCGCAAGTTTTGTTTTCGTTATTAAAAGTTGCCCTCTTCAATTCGCATTTAGTATAAAAGAAAAACATTAATGTAAGTGACGCACACCCTGTGCATACTAGGAAACGCTGAGAAACATTTAGTATCTTGTTTTTGAAATTACTGTAGTTGTGCATTTGTTTTACTTGTTTGATTAATGGGGTGTTCATTTGTTCTTGATGATATGTTCCACTATATGGATGCGTATATGGAGACAGTATCGCGATGCTAAAGCTGTGTTAATTGACACACATTATTTTTTTATTTTAATGTCAGCTTGTCTTGGGTGTGGCCATTAACCATCACACAATATAATTCTGGTGCCCATCAACATATCGTATGTGTCACAAACTCATCCCCACAGTGTAAGCGGCCCAAGGCAATAAGTACTTTGGGTACAGCGGTAGGTAATAATGGCGATACTGGACCCCGATGACTTCTAATTATGATGAAACCTGCATCCATTTGTCTTATTGTTCTTATGATGTCTAAATTAAGCACAAGCCTATCTTCAGCTGATGACCATCGCGAGCATAGGCACAAGATTGGTGATGTCATCTCGCAATGCTCGCCGGGAATTGTATTATGTGCTCCTGTTTGAATATACTTTGTGCATGTGCATTATCAATATTGGGTCATAGCTTCAAATCATTGTTGTCTTTGCGCGACAACTATATAAAATGCAACATAATCTTCACATTTTCTCATGCTAATTCTGTTCAGAAGTAATGTTTTTTATAAGTTGTAGTCATATTTAATTTATGAGACAGTTCTTGATGATGATGATGATGACAGCAGTATTTCCAGTTTGTCCCTTTATTTACTTCGAGGCAGTCTTGATGCATTTTTTGGCATTCGTCAGCATCGGCAGCCTTCACAGATCAATCAGGTTTTACCTCTTATCGTCGGATGTGATCGTCACTCATAAATCATCATCATCGTCGTAAATCACGGCCTGCATTATTGAAATTGCCTGAAGGCACAGAGTGGCCCTAGGTGGTGGCGAGACAGATGGAGCAGATGAGCAGATGGAGGTTGAAGCTTGGATATTGTTGCATGTCTGCGTGGTCATGGGGGGGGGGGGTTTAGGCGAGACTCGAGGAGTCTTGTGACATATGACGTCGCTGCTGTTTGGCAATAACAATAGCACACCATGTGTTGGCTTCGGAAGAAGGTGTATCTATCAGACACGTGTCACTCGCATTTGTCGCTCTGGTTGCAAGAAGATACCGGTCATATCGTGGAGCGAACAATATCTCACACGACTGACTGGAGGAGTAGAGAACTACATTTGAACGCATTGCCACGAGCGGCGTATCATTTCACAACTGACGCAAACCTAAACTTTTAATGTCCCGGGGACAACTTATGGATTTCGCGGGACGGCTACCCACAAAAAATGTATGACGATCCTGGGAAGACCAGGACAGGTGGTAACCCTATTCATAGGCGATCTCAGAAATGCCGCGTGAGAGTGCTGGGAACATGACACTTGAACACGATTGGAAGGCAGCCTGAAGCACGCTGGCAGTGTTATTCGGGCAATGATCTTGTTCAGGTATTTATTGTTGAACATATTTTGGTTTGGTGATTAGGTCCTCATTTTGGATTGTCTAGCGTGTAACACGGCTTGGAGAACATTTGAGTCCCATTTTTTAGATGGATTTAATGATGATTGTAAAAATCTACTGTCTACTGCGAGTTTCAAGGCCAGCCCATACAATGTCATAGATGGAGGGAGATTTTGACCTTACTTAACCACATCACTTCTATGAGGGTTTGTGAAGGATGAGCCCCCCCCCCCGGTTTTTATCAGACCGTAGTTTTTAATGTTATTTGAAATCCCATGGTGTGTAAGGAAACATGAGCGCTGAAATACACGTGCTCAAGTTTGAATGGTCATATTTGACATAAACGCCATCACTCTTGCCATCTGTTGAGATTGATGCAGTTGCTTTGCGGGATACTGTTTCAATCTCTCCCTCTCGGCGATGTCATTTGCACGACATGTACAATGAGGGGGTGTGTTTCGCCGCTGTCGGGAGCTTTGGCTGCACGTCACGTATGCACTGATTGAAGCACCACGGCACAGACAGTTCCTGACCACGAGTCGCTTTGGAAAGTACTGCCTAGGTTTTTGCGGTTGTTCCGTACGGCGCTCTGGTGATTCGGGTATTAATGAAACCGTGTTGTGAGATGAATTTACTTTGCGCTCACCTGAAGTTGCTGTGGCGAGGGCTTGTAATTAGAATAAAACAATAATTCCCCTTCCCCCTAAAAGTACCATGTTCTCCTGATCGTTGCCCCTACATTAGTAGGGTAGTGCGTCCACCGTTCTCCTGCCCTGGGAGCACCAGGCCTCGGGCTTTCGTTCGTGGAATAAACGAAACAATTTTAATTTTATTTTACCAGTTAAGGCCCACTGAGCTATGTTAGCTCTTTTCCAGAAGCAACCTGGCTGTCACAAATGATAGCTGAACGGAAGTGGCTTACCACGTGGAAATCTATCACAGCCAAATGCTCTTAAACGCATATATATCTGTGCACCCCTCCCGTTTATTTTTATCACTAGCGCTCTGTATCAAGCTCTTGTAAAAAAAAAACTATTATTTATTTCTGCGCTAAAAACGCGGCGGCCCAATTTCGGTTCACCCTCCCCTCCCTGACCCCCCATTTTTATCATCAACCTGTATTGACCAGTGTGGTGAAGTATAGTCAAGCAACGCTATAACCAGCACAGTTGGGGGGGGAAGCTTTCATCCAGCAGTGGCTTGACAAAGGGTTGTAATTTCATTTTATTTTGTTCTCGGGCTTTCACAACCATACGTCACAAGATTCGTAATTGGTTTCTTTTGGGTCAGGTCGTTTAGGTATAAAGTCAGAGCTGTAACCCTCCACCATCTGATAAAGCAAGTTGTTGTGGGCAAATCTACCAATTCGTGATAAGATTTTTGCAAAACCGGTTATGTTGAAAATATTTAATACATATTCAATTACTTGCTTCTTTAACACGCCATTTTGCTGAAAAACAGAATCAAATAGCGCTTTTGACCACCTGATAACTTTATTTGTTGTTTGCAGTGTTGGGCAGTGGAGGAGTGTAGCTCTAATAAACTTAATAAAGTACTTACACAATCTATATTATTTAAACTGTATATTGTACTGCTCGATTGCATAATTTAAGGCCTTGATTTCCTGTTTTGTAAATCGTGTCCCCTGCATAAGGTATAGATAGGGCTGTTTCTGATCTTTTATCATATGCGGTTCTGTATTGTTTTTGCGACCCGCATCTCCCTTGAAAGAGAGCCCTTTTTAGTTTCGTTGGGAGCTCATGTACAGCAACGTGTCCATCTACTGCTAGACGAGGGCCTCCCAATGCCGCGCTGATGGTGGGAGTTATTTTGACCATACTTCGCCATGCTGGTCAATTCCCCGGGGGGGGGGGGGGGAATTGGTGATTGTGGGGCCAGCGTAGACTTGTGGAGCATAGTTACAGCAACGACTTTCGCTGCACTTTCCTCTGCTGCCCACAGCTTAGCTTCGCCGCAGCAGCAGCCAGTAACGCGCCCGCTGCTACGTGCCTGGCGATATACCCATTCAAGCGCTATTCAGGTTTAACCGTGCTTAGCTTCCGAGTTTTGATGCGATCAGAGGCCGCCGCCACGCCAGGTGATTTTTTTTTTTTTAAATCATCGACTAAGTGGGTTATCACCGGACTCAAAATGAAAGATCGGTTGGCGTTCTCTTTTTTTTTCAGGACCCTCCAACGTCTGTGTCGTTAGGCCTGAGAATGGAGGAGATGATTTTCAACCTCGCCGACACGCACTTATTCTTCAACGACTTGGAGGTGAGTCCGCGCGTGTGTTACGCCCTTGTGGAAAATCCACAGATAACCTTTTAAGATGTGTATCTGTTTGTTTTTCTTTCATGTTTAATTTATTTTCAGTGGCCTGAAAGCATTCCTCAGTGGATTATGAATCCAGAAGATGGGTCCAAATGTCCTGAAAAAAAACCCCACTGCTGCTCAATTAAGTTTGCGGACTACAATAACGTGGCTTGTTGAAAGTTTTTTTTGATGATCGATCAAAGTCATTGTGATTTCCCAGCTCAACTGAGCATTGAGGTTGTTATTCATCTCCTGTTTACAGAGTGTGGTGGAAATTCCTATGGTGAGGGCGAGTTTATACATAGAACGTCCACGAATTAGTGGTAGTTGGTCCTGATCACTAAAAGGCAGGGTTGGTGGGGGTGACGACTCCTGAGTCAGTTACAATAGTGTCGTTCATAATGGATTGCAACCGCAATGTCAATTGTAATTTCACCTAACAATGCGTGCGTCTGATTTCAAGGTCATGATGAAATGCAGGGATTATCTTTTATTGCGTGGAATTTAGCGGCAGCCTCTAGCGGCTGGAGGGGCCAGTAGAACCCATTACATGCAACACATACGTATCAAATAACGTGGGTTCTTATGCACGCAATTCAAGGTATGCATCCAGCTTTAATAATTATCGATGGGAACTGATACCGATTCACACCCCCACTGGTCCAAATTATACATTACCTGGATGTATTTTTGTACCTGTATTTAACATTAAAAGAATAACTTGGTTGTTTTACTACAGCCAAAGGTTTTGGTAAATTTCTACAGAAATAAGTAAGCATTTTTATGTTTTATTTCAATCTCGCATAAAATATTCATGCAAGTCCATGATGTTTTAAACTCCCTTTGACAAATCCATTATGTCAGACTCTTCAGGTGTGCTTTGTTAGGAGTGTTTGCACCCTGCCAACCATCATCTTATAATGTTACAGTTTAAAACTAGCTTATTGAACAATGTGGAGTGGTTCCACAGTGATTTGCGCACTGTGTTATAAACCCGGGCCATGGCTAATATCAGTGGTAAGTAATGTCTAAATTAGTCTTTTCCCAGCCCTTTACCAACCCGCATTGACCAACCTGGTACAATATGGTCAGGCAACCTCTCCGATTGACATGGTGTTGGGAGGCCTTATTCCAGAAGTGGATTGATAGTGGCTGTAAATTAGTATTATTATAATTTAAAAAAAAAATTGTTAATGGAGGAGCTTCTAAGGTCAAATTAAAATGCTGTGGAACAGTGACTATACATTTTGATTTAAAGCTTTCGTAACTGCAGTGATTCATATTCTTGGTTCTTTCGGTAAAGTGACGTTGAAGGGAAACAATAAAATAATAAAATATGCTTCTTGCCGTTGGTTTTTTTCACACCTGATGATGACTGTTTGTGTTACAGTCGAAACGTCGTGAGAATTTTATTGTTTATATATATTTTATTATTTTATTTTTTCCCTTCAACGTGACTTTACCGAAATAACCAAGAATATAGTGACTATACAGTCAGTAACCTTACTGAGATGTTATTAGACGTACTGGTCTTAATATTTTTATGGACTTTTTTTTTTACATCAGCTTTTAAGTCGAATTGGATTGGTGTAATGGTGGCACAGCGTTTGGTGCGCTCCACTATATACACGATGACCCGAGTTCCAGTCACAGCCACAGCCAACATTAGTGGCGGGTGTTCTTTGAACCAGTCCAGGCCCTTCGCCCCCACCAAATACCCTCTGCCAACCCGCGTGGCCAGCATGGTGATGTATGGTCGGACAACCCCCAAGTACAGGCAGCATGCTACAAAAAAAGTAGATTTTATACGGTTGATTGATAAGGGAGAGTAGGTAACCTTGTATACAATGCTATGATGCTCTCTAGGATTAGTGGCTATAATGCGCACCAGAGATTTGGGTGGACTTAATCCTAACAAAAGGATCATTCTGCTTAAGATTAAATGAAACCGATCATCGTTACTAACGTACGCCTTATATTTGTATACTCTTTTTAATGTTGTTAGCTTAGTCTTGCAGTTTCAGCCAAACGTGACACATGTGACTGCAAGTGCAATCTACGAGCTTACTGCATGGTATGTAAGTAATATTAATTTGTTTGTATGTCGAATATATATGTTCACATATTACCTTATTTATATTTATCGAGTGCCTTGGCTCAAGGCGTTGTACAAAGTTTAAAAAGCGGTAACAAAATCCGAGTGCTCCTGCGCACCAGCTGATGTCCATCGCTCCATCAGTAGTGGACGACCCATCGGAAGTGTTCCCTCCTGCATCATTAGTCTCAACCCCACCGGTCATCATCCCGTCTAGCGATGTTTCGCCAAAGCGCATACTAACTATTATTTACAGTCAACAATATTATTGACAGTCAATATCGGCACCGTGGTGACAAGATGTTAATTCTCTCACCTAGTATAAAGGAGGTCTTGGGTTCGATCCCTACCGTGATGCCTGTATACTTGAAGTTTGCGTGTCTCTCTCCCCGTGGTCGTGCGAATTTTTCTCTTGGTCCTCTGGTTTCTCCCTCCACATTTAGAAACATGTAGTTAAAGTATTAGGCTGCTATTTTTTTCCACATGTTAAGCCATTTTGTTGAGCTATCATATGTGGCCAGGTCACTTCTTACAAAGAGCTATACAGCTCGGTGAGCCTTACCAGATAAAATAAAAATAAAAGTTATTTTTTGTATGCATGTTGCACTTCTTTTGCCCCGTACGTATCCAACCGTGCTTATCAGAGGTGTAAATCCAAGCATGCTTCTTGTGCACTTACCAGCTTTTGTTCTGTTTCCTTTGTCATTGTCCATGTTTCTTTTCCATGTGTCCATAGCAGGGGTCGTATATACGGATTAAAAGAAGCCCTGCCTAATGCTACCATATAATGACTTAAAACCGCTGTTTGCTGCAACAAAAATGTAAATTTGAGTAACCCTTAAGCAATGCATGTAATATTCACCCCATCCCCTACCATTGTATGAATTATGACAATTTTGGATTGTGATTTGATTCATTGTCTTTTTTACAGTCTTGTTTGCTTCATTCATGTATATTTTATGCTTACACGCATGATTTATAGTACGTATTGTGACCGGAAGAATTGATCTTAATCGGTGAATTGATTAATCCCTTACATGCCTGCTTTTTTTAGACCTCAACTGTCCGTCCCCTTCTCGTAAAAATTTCGTGTGTATGAGAGTCAAATCATAGTGAAACTGCGAGGCTGACACTCAATCAATGTCCAGCATGTCACATCACATTGTGTATGTGCCGTGGGTTATTTGTGGTTTTATCGAAAGCCTTGTCCAAATAGGCAGTCACCGGAATGGCCAAGGATCACACTCTATTAACATTAGCCCTCTTCTTGCTTTTAAAAACAAATGAAAGTTCACATTCAGGATGACGCCATTTTCCGACAACAATTTGGTTATACATTTTTATTTAAAGCTTTCGTGACTGCAGGGATTCATATTTTTGGTTCTTTCGGTAAAGTCACGTGACTTTACCGAAAGAACCAAGAATATAATTTGGTTATACTTCGTTCGGACTGTTATGAATAATTGCAAAAACAGTCATATAATTAATTGATAATAGTGTCCAGCTCTTTATTTATCGACTGCTGTATGAAGGGTTTTGTTTCCAAGCTGTGTCGGTTATGGGGTGTGGTTGACCATACTTTACCACGCTGGTCATTGCAGTTCGGTGAAAGTGGGGAGCAACACTTCGCCACGGGGAGCAATAGAATGTGTTGCACTACGTCTGCTGACTGCCACGTAACAGAGCCCCCCCCCCCCCCACTGATGCCCATGACAATCTGGCGTGCATAGTGGTCACCCTCCCAAGTGCCGTCCAGGCTCAAACCTGCTTAGCTTCCAGGATCTCACGAGGTCAAGCGTATTCTGAGTGGTTTGGTTATAGCTATATATAAACACACACACACACAACCTTGAATAACTTAAAAGTATTTGGTTCTCAGGTTTCTGTTTCTTTTTTTATAAATATGACCGTCGTGAAAGCTTATTGTGTAATAGTTCTTTTATGATGCGTACCTTGCATGCGTTCTTGGTAACCACACACAATGAGAGAGCTTCACTGACCTAAAAAAAATGTTAAAAGCCACTCACGCTTTTAAATGTATTTGCAGAACCTAACCTTTAAGTCCAGCAAACCGTCGCCGAATCTGATATTACAAATCCCTGCAGCAGGAATGTTTAAATTGGTATTAGATTGTCATTTACAATTCAGATTTGTAATTCATCGCCAAAGAGCGCTCACATTTGTTTCATTAAACCGACGTGAATGTGGCACATTGCTCAGGAAGTCCAAATAAAATTGAGCCAATGTTTTCCACTCTCGCCGTGGAGATTGCCGCGACTCGATGATTGATGCAGAAGACTTAAACACTGCCATGCAGGCCGCCCCCACCGCTCCACCAAAAGACACGCGGAATTGATTACGTCTGAGTGTGGCCACTTCGGCGGGCCGGCGGTGCTCCCCCTGCGGACGCCGCGCTCGGCGGAGCCCGATTGAGACGCCGCTTATCGTTGCGGCTGGCGCGGAGCCAGCGCGGTGACGTAGCGCGACAGCCTTCGCCGGGTCCCGGCCTGCCCCCCCCCCCCTGCCCCCTGCAGTTCATTAATCAAAATGTCCATTTCCATTACACTTCTTCTCACAGGCACCGGGTCCACGGTTTCCACGCGTTGCAGTCGTGGAACTCGCAGAGCGGAGTGGAATTCTTGTTCGTTGCATATGTTGAGCCATAAGAGGTGTTTTACACTTGGCTGTTAAATATTTGTAAAGTTAACTTTTTTTTTTAAAACTCCTTCCAAGCACCGTTTGATATTATGCCTTTTTTAAAATGTAGTCTTATTTTGAGGGCGCAAGCACCATGTAAAAGGCTTATAAAGGTGTGGATTATAAGAAAATATTGGCTTTATGAACATAAGTGAGTTAACTAAAGGGT